AAAACAATTGCTATTCCTGGCAGAATCTGAGAATCTGAGAAAAAAGTGTTCAGTTCTGAATCTTCGAGAAAAATTACCGTTTTCGTGGACGGTTTTGTGATCGGAGCACCGCTGTGATTTTCACTTGACTGCGGACAGCACATACTGAATGTGTGAAGAAACTCCCTGGAATGAAGAACTCATTTAGTTACCGAATTCTATTCATTTGAAGGCGACATTTTGAGATCATACCTCCTGAACACGTGAGACATCAAAGCACATAGAACAAAATTGACAGCGCTGTTGATAAGCGAGAGCAAATCAAAGAAGTTCCCAAGGGGATGTGTGATGAACATCATCCGTGGATTGATGCCTGAAATAATGGCAATTTCTCGAAGTGATTATCTGACTGAATATCGAATTAATTAGTTGATTAAGCACGTCAGTGAACTTCCGTAGTCTCACGTAGCTTCACTGGGCACATTTGACACTTAGAGACTTGCGTGATATTACACCTCCTACGCTTCTACCGTAACCTTTTCCAGAAGAAATACAATAGTTTTCACTGGGCAATAACAATAGTTTAATTTAGATTAAAGGCACAGTTTGTGGCTATTCCATCTTGAAGTGGAGCAGGGGGTGCAGACCCTCCGATCGCTAGTAGGGAAAAACGGAAAAGTGACCATAAAAAGCATATAAAGTGAAATTTAGTAGGTTCATAGGTTATTAGGTTATAATTCTTTATTGGTGAGATCGATCGTGGTACGATACAGCGTGGCGAGAAAAGGAACTACGCAAGAGTGCGTCGTACGAGAAGGCACAGATACTGCGTAAGCTGTGGACGAGGTTGCAACGGCCAACGCAATACATTGGCTCCCTTGTGAGTAGCACTTTTAGTAGCGACAGGACCACGAGCCTCTGTGCTTAGGGACCCTATTATCCTCTCTACGGGGGAAAATTCAAAAACCAGATCGTGGGCTGCACCTTCAAAACACATTCCCCAATCATTCAGGTGCTCACTGCGCCCCGAACTAAAAGCGGAGGTAAGAAATGAACCGGCAGTGGAGAAGCGGAGAAGAAACTGCAGAAAGCAAAGCAAACGAGGGCCTCCTTCTGGCTGTCGAAGAGCGCTATGACAAAAAGAGAGAACATTGAAAACAGAGAGAGTATGTTGTACTAGCAGGATCCAAGACATAGACATATCAGCAGACTCGCGGGCGATTCACAGAAGCGGTGATCAGCCTCTGTGGCCTGCAACCGCCGATTACAGTGAGCGAGGGACCTGAGCTCGCGGGATTACTTCAGCTTTTACCCGGACGGCAATTCGAATAATCTCGTTCAGAGGCGCGCCTTCACAGTGGAAAGAACCAGGTTTGCAATATCCAAAAAGACTGAATGAGGCAGACTTGTAGGCGGAAAAGAGACGATATAATAGCTTCATCGCGCTTTTGTTGCCCCGATTTGGAGAAATGATCACCTATGTAGGCATGCCACGACAGGCTTGGGCAGCCACGTCAATGGACTGGACAGGGCATGGAAAAATAAGGCTGCAGATTGCAAAATAGTGACTAAACAGCTAGCAGAACTTGCAGAGAAACTGGCGAAATGTGAGAGACTCCCCGAAGCAGCGGTGTGAGATATAAAGAGGTAAGGAGGTGAAAAAGATACACAAAATATTCATCAAAAATCTAACACTGGCAGTGATGGTGATCTATATCAGGCATAACACTGCACTGATCCAACAAGCTGTCCGATATCACGAAAATACGAGTGAAGGCCTCATGATTTTTTTTACTTAGCCTGCTATGTCTTTTCAGGTAAAACTCACCAACAGCAAGGCCAAGAATTCCTTGAGGCAGTTCTGTAATCAAAAACACGGCCACAATTCCTGTGAGCATTGCGGTTGTACGTTCAGCCTGAAATTCGTTCGATTTTAGATTAGATTCAGTCTTGCCGGGTTCTGTTAAGGTACTTGAAAATCAACACATACTTGAGAATTCCCAGTAGGGACACCTCCACAAAGCCGTAATCGTCTTTCACGAGCTTCGATGAGCATTCGTACTAAAAGTGTCATGAAGACCGTCAGTAGGACACACGGCACCAATTTGAGTACACAAGCTGAAAATATCTCGGGATTGAACCATGTAATGGGCTGAATGATGCAAAAGGCTGCTAGGAAACTGACCGGCTACCCAGAAATTGATTCTTTCCCATTGGCAGTTCCACCATATTGGCTGCACCAGGTCGTACCTGTAGATGGTGTCGGATTCGTCCCACGAGGCTTGATATTTGGTTTCAAGGCAACGTTCAGGAACCGGCATCTCTTTTACGAATTTGATCTGAAACAGTATACCATTAGATTCGTCGATGGTCGCTGGACCAAGAGAGTGATTAACTGGTACCCAAGGGGAAAAACAAGGCCAGAGGCAGACCCCCCACCCGATGGGCAGACCCTCTCGTGAAGATGTACGGCCAGTTGTGGCGCAGAAGAGCCCGAAGCAGAGCGACCTGGAAGATGTGCGACCTGCGTTTCTGGCGTGCCCGGGACGAATAGCGGTCGAGAAGTAAGTGCATCGAAGGAGTTGAACCGGTTGAAAATTCCCGAGTCCACGCTCAATCACGTCGTCGTTTGGATCGCTGGCACCCCAAGTAAAGTAACAGTTTGGCTAGACGCGAACTCAAATGCTCCTACTAGGAATGGAGATCAAAAGCATGGCGCACCTTAAAAAGACGCAACAACTCGTTCCCATTCCGTTGCTGATCACATTTTTGTGATGAAACCCCTATTTCTGTTATTCCCAGAGAGAGAAGCTTTTAATTCAGAAGCGAGCGTTTAATTTCACAAACTGTTTATCTTTAGCAGCAATCAACCACACAATTCTAATACGCTCTGTGAGCGTTTCCTCCTCACTGGATGAAAAAGGACTGAAAATTCTAAAATAGACTCAGAGAGGCGATTATAATGAGCACTAATTATGTAAACTACCCGAGAATAGATGAACACGTTCGCCATCCGGCGAGTTCGTCGTACCCTCGCTTTGCTGTGAGCGTGAGATCAATCCTGTTAAAGAAGGACGAAGGTAGGGCAGCAAAAAGCCACTAGCCAACGCACGGCTTCTGGGATGGGACTTTGGTCAGGCCTCGAGAGGACTCTTCATCCGGAGAAGGGGGGGGGGAGTTGGAAAGATGATAAGAACGTGAAAACACAGCCAGCGTCATCTTTCGGGGTAGGATCCCGCGTGGAACATCATGCCGACCTTCCTGACGGCCAGGAGGAAAAGCTTATAGTGGACCTCGGCCAAGCGTTGACGAACCAGATGCGCCATCCAATGCTTCTATCAGTTTAAAGACTTGTCAAAGGCAGGGCGCATTCCAAAAGGAATGGTCGTGGCAGGATTATATTTTTTCATTGGTCACAGTTATAAAACAAGGGCTGAAACGTTCGACGTTGATCAATCTTTCTAGGATGCGCCACGGATTATAGCTCCCATTCATGGCATCGTGGTGAGATTTGCTTGGGAATTGGCCTATACATACAATGACTTACAAGGCGAGTGATTCCAGTTCATTTGGGGCGTCGTGATGGAACCAAATTGTGGTTGTTCGGAAATTCGCCTCTTCATACAATAGACTTCGGCAGGCGAGCGGGTACGATAGCCATTACTGCGTTTTGCCTTAGCACCAGTCTTGTACCTGCTCACCTCCGGAGGGATAGGAGAATCTGTCTTAGGCGAGATTCGGCCTGGAGTGGTTTGAGCCTCTAACTGTGAGTATTACGAGAGGAGGCGCACCTGGCATTACATCATCATAACTTCTTCCGATCATCGCAGATTATACGAGATATTCATCTCCTTCGAAGTGGTATAGTGGCAAGTGGCGCGCTTACCACGCGAGCGGTCCGGGGATCAAATCCTGGGTCGTGAGTCGCCCGGGCCAACCAAGCCTTCCATCCCTCCGGGGTCGGTTAATTGGTACCAGACTTGTCTGGGAGGATAAAAACACTGACTTGTACATCGGCTGGCCCCCGCAAGTCATTGTTAGGCAAATTTTATGCTTTTAACCTTTGTCATCCCTTTAGTAGTATTCATAACAACCCAAGCGCAAAACTCACTCTATAGCGGAGCATGTTCGGAAGGCTCCCGATGAGAGCTATCACGGCCCCGACCACGATAGCCACACAAGCGGCTGGATAACCATTACACGGCGGTAGACGACTATGTGTACGACTTCCTCGATAGAGCACTAGATACCTGCAAGAACCAAGCAATAGCCATGAATACTATACTATTAGGGCTATTCACCTGGGATCAAATGCTTACCTCATGACCGCCATATTTACAGTGAACCACAGACTAGCACTGTGGACAAATACAGAGAACATCGCATAGAATCTCGTGTAGATCATCCACACATGTGAGAAGAACCACGGATGGCAGAATTCCACCTGAAATCAACAAAGGAGCCTGCATTTGGAGACTCGGTTTTTCCCTAGAGACATGGTAAGCCTGTGGGGTTTCTCATCCGAATTAGTGGACTATCTTTACAGAACGCAGCCTTGGCAATCGCGGAAGGGGTGATAGTACATCGATGACGCACTGATTTCAAGCCCTTGCCTGAGCTTGGTATTTGACCCACTAGCGCGCATTATCCAGTTTTCTTCGCCCAACACTGCGTTTGGGCTGCGGTCGCTGCTTTCTGGTATCCGACTGCTTCCGGTGCGTCAGGGTCTACCTACTGGAGATAGTCGCCTATCGCCTACCAGGCTGTCGTCAGAAATTCCGCTGCATCCGACTCTGCTAATAGGTGAACAAAGTGCATCGAATATTTGTTCTGTCGT